TGAGACCTGCGGCGCAGCAATCTTCAGGTGCTGTATGCCAGAGCCATCTGCTGTCGACATAAGAAACTACTGGGTCGTGTGGTACAGCATGCTTCAGGCGCTGTATGCCAGAGCCATCTGTTGGCTAACACTGAAACTACTGAGTCGTGCGGTACAGCATGCTTCAGGCGCTGTATGCCAGAACCATCTGTTGTCGAGATGAATAACTACTGAGTCGTGCGGTACAGCATGTATCAGGCGCTGTATGCCGGAGCCATCTGTTGGCGACATAAGAAACTACTGAGTCGAGTGGTACAGCAGTCTTCAGGTGCTGTATGACAGAGCCATCTGTTGGCGACATAAGAAACTACTGAGTCGAGTGGTACAGCATGCTTCAGGCGCTGTATGCCAGAGCCATCTGTTGTCGACATAAGAAACTACTGAGTCGTGCGGTACAGCATGCTTCAGGTGCTGTATGCCGGAGCCATCTGTTGGCGACATAAGAAACTACTGAGTCGTGCGGCGCAGCATGTTACAGGCGCTGTATGCCAGAGCCATCTGTTGGCTAACACTGAAACTACTGAGTCGTGCGGTGCAGCATGCTTCAGGTGCCTTACGCCAGAGCCATCTGTTGCCGACATAAGAAACTACTGAGTCGTGCGGTACAGCATGCTTTAGGCGCCTTATGCCAGAGCCATCTGTTGCCGACATAAGAAACTACTGAGTAGTACGGTACAGCATGCTTCAGGCGCTGTATGCCAGAGCCATCTGTTGGCTAAATATCAAACTACTGAGTCGTGCGGTACAGCATGCTTCAGGCGCTGTATGCCAGAGCCATCTGTTGGCTAAATTTCAAACTACTGAGTCGTGCGTACAGGAGAAGACAGTGTGACCGCCGATATCGCGTCTGTACTCACGGAGGCTGGTGGCGGGATTGGTTCCGGAGCCGGTGGTGCTGGTGGTGGTGCTGGTAGATGACCTGAAAAAGAATCAGCACATTTCTTATTCAAATTGTGATAGGTACACTGTAAGAAAAAGCATCGCTAGTTTCTTTTCTAAACACGTCTTACGTTTTTGGGCTTTTCTGACAAACTATTTGCTACAATAGGTCTACAATGTATGGCCCATCTAAATACATTTTGTGATGAGAAAGAAACTACGAATGTGTCTCGAAAATACGAATAAAATAAAATGTTTACGCCTTTATGGCCAATATGTTGTAACATACTTACGGACGCTGATGGTAGGCTTGGTGATGAGGCCGGTGGTGCTGGTGGTGGTGGTGCTGGCAGATGACCTGAAAGGGAGATAATACAAATTGACCGCAAACCGATAGAACTCCTATAAAGTACAGTGGATTCTCCTCTCAACCTGTCCTACGGTCAACAAAATCCTGACGGAATACGTTATTATTGTGGCATTATGATATTATTCCTATCGATCTGATTTTGAAAAAAAAATATGGACCACAAATCCTATGTAACATTGAGAAAAGAACGAGTTTTACGTATTCAGGATGCATTCAATGATTACACACTCACGGAGGCTGATGGCGGGCTTGATCCCGGAGCCGGTGGTGCTGGTGGCGGTGCTGGTGATGGTGATGGTGATGCTGGGAACGGTGGTGATGGCGGACCTGAAATACAAGGCAAAATGTTTGTAATCAATTCTTGAAGTCCAATTCGCACCTTGCAGTAACACTGGTAGATATGCGAATACAAGGAACATAGGTAGTTGCTTTACTACTACATACACCTGCCCATTTTGATAACTGAACTTAACCTTCGCCCCAGTGGGGGGGGGGGGGGGGCATATGTTACCACCCTGTCGCGTTGTTTGCGTGTGAATCGCTTGGGGTAGCTTTTGGTACATCAATTTTGGACAATGTGTGAAATTTTTGACCCCAGGTCATGTCAAGTCAGGTCACCAGGTCAAGTTAACTGACCAAGCCTAAAAAAGTTTGCAATCATGTCCAGCCTGCAGTGTTTTTCAGAAAGGTTTTAAACTTGGTGGATTGCATGATGTTATGGGCGCCTACAATTTTTATATCTCGGACTTTTTTATATCCGTGACCTAAGGTCAGGTCAGTGGCGTGACCTTTCTATTACAAGTGAATGGAGAAAAATGAAAATGCCTCTAGATCCGTGTGTACGCATAGGAACAGTCCAAATATTTCAGAATCACAATGATTTAGACAACCCGTAATGATCAAGGTGTCAATTTTGCTGATAGCCTCTAGAAAGGTCATCCGAGGTCATTTGAGGCTACAAACAGATTTTTGCCAATAACTCGCGATTGGAAAGAGATAGAACGCTGGGGATGGTCTCATTGTGTTTGTCTTGCCGAGACGCATCGACTGATATGAAACATGACCTTTTCCGGTCAGGTCATGACCTTGACCTGAGGTCAAATTTTCAAGTTGACCTTTCAAGGTCAAATTATAGTTCATTCGACGCGTCTCGGCGAGAGGAACACGATTCTGGCAATAGAAATGTCGTGGCTTTTTGTTGTCGAAAGTTATTTTCGAAAAACACTTTTCGTAAAAACAGCTATTTTTGGAGTTTTTGCCCTCTGGAGGCTAAACCGTTGACCTGAGGTCAATTTTGATAATGACCTTTTCAAAAGAAGAGTTCAAGAGCTATTGATTGCTTTTCCATGCGTTTTTCGAGCTACCATTGTTCCTGAGATAACGGCATGTTTTCTGAAAAATATTATGACCATTGGCAAATTTTGACCTTTGATGACCTCTGGTGACCCCAATATTGCTCTAAGATGAAAAATGATCGAAATACTTTCAAACGTACGCATTGAGAGCTATCGACTGCTTTTTACTGCGTCTTTCTAGCCCTCTTAGTTTTTGAGTTAGAGGCGGTTGGTAACATATGCCCCCCCCCCCCACTAGGGCGAAGTTGGCTGAGACTGCCACTGGGGCGCGGGTTAAGTATGAAAGCACAATGTAGATGATCTAAACAAACAATATGTTTTATTCAAATTGTTATCCACTGTAAGAAACTCCGTGTTCATTTCATTTTAAACACGTCCTACTCTTTCTTTAAACTAATGATGAGGTATTTGGTCACGATATAATCTATAGCCTATCGATCTAAATTTGGTGATTGGAAAAAAACACGAATTGTATCACAAATTAACAAAAAATTGAACGTTTACGTTTTGATTGTCAGCTGATAAAACACTCACGGAGGCTGGTGGCGGGCTTGGTGCTGAGGCCGGTGGTGCTGGTGGTGGTGGGCTTGGTGCTGAGGCCGGTGGTGCTGGTGGTGGTGCTGGTTGATGACCTGAAAGGAAATATATGGAACCTGAAGTCAAACCTCAGAAAATACCATGGGACACAGTGGTGTTTTATAAACTCCTTACGGTCTGAACAGTCATGACAGCATCCGTTATCAATGTATTAGTATGATAGTATTCCTGTCTATCTTTTTGTGGAGGAGAAGGCAAAAAATCCCCTAAAATTATAGCCATTTTTATATTTTTAGATTCAATCAATAATTCCAAACTCACGGAGGCTGGTGGCGAGCTCGATCCTGGAGCTGGTGGTGGTGATGGTGCTGGTGATGGTGATGGTGATGGTGATGGCCGGTGGTGATGGTGGACCTGAAATGATATAAACGATTGAATCATTCTATATGACAGACGAAACGATCATGTATACGCGTTTTTCGGGCTTAGCCTAACCAAATAAAACACCGTTTAATTTACCCTAACGAAACTTAAGCTAACATTTTTGATCGTTTAATTGCAAGTTAGCCTAAATCTGGCTTATGCTGATATGAAGGGAATATGAAGGAGCCGTTGAAACCACTTGTTGAAACAGAGCCAGAAAACTTCGCCACGGTTATCATGCGACCAGCTGAACTTTCCGCAGATTGGGAGACACTGCTACGGAGTTGAAGAGGCTAGTCCACGGGCGTAATTCTTGTTTCCAATCAAAGGAAGGCGCTATACGGAGTATATCCCAGTGCGTCATTGTCAAGTGACTTACAACAGCTTTATCCGGCCAGCTGTCTGCGAGCCGCGAGGTGTAGTGGCTGGTTAGCGCACTCGCCCCGTGTTCAGAGGACCGCAGGTTCGAATCCCGCCGGCGGCTGACATTTTTGGCGCGTTGTAGGTTTGAAGGCTGTAAGTTAGGTCAAGTTAGGATAGGTTAGGTTGTTAGTTTTTGTTTGGTTTGGTTACAAAGAAGCATCTTCAGGTATAGTGCCTACCTTTGGTTGGAAAAAAGAAACACGCAGTCCACGGATGGCTCACGCCGCGCTACATTTATGAACAGGCATTAGTGACGCAGTTCTGAGTCCACGAGTCCGGCACTAACATCAAATTCGGTTAATACGTTCAGAACATATTCCCAGGAATATTCACCGCGGACGGTAAATTTCCCGAAAATGGCCGTTCGGAGTCGTTCCCGGATGTAATAGGTGTTCTCTATGTGATGCCACAATGCGTGCGTGGTCCTCGGCATCAGGATTTCGGCTCGTGGGTCGTTCACATAAATCTGAGCGAATGAGGGTGGCTGGTCTCCGTTGGCTTCGAGTGGTCCAAGTCGGTCCCGCAGTCCGCACCACATGTACACGGCACGTACCCGCCGGTGCCAGCAGGCTGTGGCACCCGTCACGGCTCACGCGCAGACATCGACGACAGGGCCAGCGCCGAGTTCAGACTTCAGATGCCTGGAAAACTGACGGAAGGTACGCGCTTCCACACCGTCGCCATCCCAAACGTGGCGCAGCACAGGTGGCGGGGCCGGCACGGGGTCAAGGAGGACCTCCCCCACCCCACCCTACCCACAGCAGAAGGTGGCACGTTCACCCAACCACCGTAAGGCCGCCGCTACGCCAGCCTGCAGCCGCTCCCCTAGCATCATAGCATTAGTTTGCACTAGAACATACAGGGTGTAACGAAATTATCCGGACATCTATTTTTTCGCCATATCTGCTCGCACAGTTTCTTGTTTAATGTTAGAAGCTGGAAAATTGGATGAATGCATATTATCACAGACGGTGTCTCGGTCCAAACTGTATTCGAGCCGGCCAGTTAGCCCCCGGGTCACAGAGACAACGCCACCACGGTTAACATACGAGTGCCCCCAGCACGGATGTCACGAGCGCAAGTACGCGTGCACCGGCGCGGCGGCCGCCAGCTCAGCTCCATGACACTCCTCCCCACCCCGAATACTTGCACAGCATGGACAAACAAATAAATATGCACCTCACAGAACAAATAACAACTGAAACAAAACGCCTACTCATAGCTCGCCACGTGTCGGTCTGGGTGCCGCAGAGTGGACCGGTCTCTCAGCCGGTACCGCGGCGCGCTGGGAGAGGGTGCGGACGGCGGGACGGTGGTCACACCCGGCGCGGACACCGCTCCGGTCAGCCCTGGCGGCACCGGAACAGGCGGCCGGCCAGGAGCAGGCGCTCGATCAGGAGCCGGCAGCCGGTCGGGAGTGGAGGCCAGTTGTCCGGGATCGGGAGCAGGCCGTGCAGATGCAGCGGCGCTCTCCGTGACCGGATCAGGAGCAGGTATCGGTGTTGCTCTGGAACGGAGAGGATCGTTAGCGACATGCGGAACAGCTGAATATCGCTCACGAACCTAATCGGCGTGCCGCACAATCACCCTTCCGTCATTTAGCTCCATAGTGACCTTAACTCCCTCTACGAACACTACACGACCGGGCGCCCACCGACAACGCTCCAATCCCTGCAATCTATCGACAGCAGACACATACACAGGGTCACCCGGGTTCAGACATCGTTCACGGGCATTTCGATCACGGTACGTCTTTTGAGCCTCTTGCTGTCTCCGTATACGCTCCTGCCTATCTGGTAGCACACCATCTAAATGAGTGCGTGGCACACGACCCAAAAATAAATCGGCGGGCGTACATGAGGTCGTAGTATGCGGTGTTGTGCGGTACCTAAACAGAAATCGAGAGACCTTGGTCTCAATGGACCCCGAGATCTGTTTGTACAGCCCGTTTTTGAAGCTTTGCACGCTTCTTTCGGCTAAGCCGTTTGATTTGGGTGATAGGCTGGCCGCTGGGTGTCGTTTAAGTGCCTGATCCCATTTACACTGCAAAACGTTTTGAATTGCTGTGATACAAAACACTGGGCGTTGTCTGTCACTAACACTGTTGGCACTCCGCAGCACGCAAACGACGCTCGTAATTTTTCAATCGTGATTAGTGAGTCGGAGGAACGAGTTGGGTAGACGTCCATCCATTTGGAGTGGGCGTCGACTATCACCAGAAACATCTATCCGTTAGCCGAGCAATAGTCTACATGGACTCGCTGCCAGGTCGAGTCGGCCACTGCCAAGGATGCAGTGGAGCGTCAGGGGCCCTACCCTTCAGTTCCTGACACTTCACACAACACTTCACGATATCACGAATGTCGTCATCGATTTTTGGCCACCAAACATACATTTTAGCCAACATTTTGGTTCTACACTCGCCAGCATGACCTTCATGTAACAACTTTAACATGGCACCCCGTCCCTGCGGCGGGACCACCACTCGTGACCCTCACAAAACACAGCCATCCTGCACACTCAGTTCACCTATACGGGACCTGTACGGCTGAAAATCAGGGCTGAGGGAAACACTATTGACATCCGGCCAGCCATCTCTGACATATCGATGTACCGCTGACAACACGGGATCCAGACCGGTCCACCGCTGTATCTGGGACACATTCACTGGGGATGAGTCGATGAACTCAAGTAAATGGACAGTCTCAGCCGGAATTGGAACGCTCGAACAAGCCTTCTCGTACGAAGGCAGCCTGCTAAGCGCGTCACAGTGGCCTTGCTTAGATCCTGGCCGGTACTCAAGGTGGTAATCGTAGGCCCCAAGCATCAGAGCCCAGCGGACCATCCTAGGTGACGCCATCACGGGCAAAGGTTTCTGCTCTCCTATGAGGCCTATGAGAGGCTTATGATCTGACGGTATAGTGAAAGTTCGCCCCGCTAGGTAATAGTGAAATTTCTTAACGCCGGTCACTACAGCTAATGCCTCTTTATCAGTCTGTGAGTATCTAGTTTCGGCGTCATTCAACGTGCGCGAATAGAAGGCCACAGGTCGCTCGCCCTGTGACGTCCGCTGACTCAACACACGGCCAATGCCGACCGGTCCCGCGTCACAGGCGAGAACCACCGGAAGGGCGGGATCAAAATGGGCTAGTACAGGAGGGCTAACTAGCATCTCTTTGGCTTTCCGAAAAGCAGACTTCTCTGCCTCAGCCCACTGCCAGGGCTGATCTGCCTTTAGAAGACGATAGAGCGGAGCCAAGACACTCGCCAGGTTCTCAAGGAATTTCCCATAGTAGTTGATTAAGCCTAGCCACTTACGCAGTTCCTTAGCATCCCGCGGTTCCGGGGCACGAACAATCGTGGCCGTTTTCTCGTCGGTGGTCTCCACACCACGGCTGCTTATCTTAAGCCCCAGATAGGTCACGCTGCTGACGCCGAAGCTACACTTGGCCTTGTTGACCCTAAAACCCGCTTCCTCCAGCCGTCTAAGAACCTGCCGGAGGGCCTCGTCATGCGCAGCGGCATCGACACCCGCGACTACAATGTCGTCCAAGAAGACACCAACGCCAGATACCAGCCAGGACAGTTTCCAGCGTCCGCTGGAACAGCGACACTGCACTCGAATAGGCGAAGGTCAACCGAAGGGGTCGAAGAAGACCCCTCGGGGTGTTAACCGTGAGATACTCGCGGGCCTTTTCATCTAGCGGAAGCTGATCATACGCGTTTTGGCCAGCGGTACGGTGCGATGCTTGAAGAAACGAGGCTGGACGTCCGGGTCTACGTCGATGCCGACTTCCCCGCCTCGATAGCAGCCCAGCTCCTCCTTGAAGACGTCAGCGAACTCGTCCAGGATGGGCTGCACACGGGTCTCCGCAGTCACTCGACAGATGGAGGGCCAGTCAAGCCTGATGTGTCCCAGCCAGTTCCTGCCGAACAGCCAGGGCCCGCCACCTTCGACTACGATGAGAGGTAGTCGCTGAGCCTGTCCGCCGTACTGAACGTTCACTGCAGCCTGCCCCATGACTGGCAGCTGCTCACCGCTGTAGGTCTTCAGCTTCACCGAACACGGTTCCAGCTTCGGCCCTCCACAGGGCCAGAGCTGCCGAAACCCGGCGTCAGAGCAGACCGACAGAGTCGCCCCGGTGTCCAGCTCCATCTCGACCTTCTGACCGTCGAGCGTTACCGGCACCATCAGCGGCGGTCGCCGGACACCGAGGCCGGTCCGGACGGCGAACATGCTGTTCACCTCCTCACCGGTCCCGGGACTGGAACTCCTCGGTTGCGTAGTGCCGTCCTCTCTGCTACCCTCCTGCGCGTCCGACCCTTGTAACGCGTCGCCATCAGCCGAGACATGGCGGAGGTGCTGCTGGTTCTTCCTGCAGGCAGCTCGGACGTGACCCCTGAGGCCACAGCTGTAGCACACCTTATCGATGAACGGGCACGTGTCCGGCTGATGATACCTCAGGCACCTGAAACAGCTCGCCGCCGTGCTGTCACCTGGCCCGGGCGTCGTCCTGTCACGCTGAGAGCGCAGCCGACCACCAGCTCTGGAGTCCGCTGCGCCGCCACCGCCGTCCCTGTAGCCGGCAGGAGCGCGGGCAGCACCCGCACCCCTAGAACTGCTACGCAGCCGCAGCGGACCCCGGGCACCAGTCAGCCGATGAACGGAAGCTCCATCTGCTCGCTCCTCAGCACCGCCGCTGAGCTCAGCCGCACTCGCTGCCGCCGACTCGTGTGCCTGGGCCAGCTGCTCCGCCGACTGGAACGTCAGCCCCGGCTCACTGAGAAGCCGCGGTTGCGGCAACTCGTTCCGTATACCACAGACCAAACGGTCACGCAGCATTTCATTAAGGACATTAGGTGCGAACGCACAGTCTTTAGCCAGCTTACGAAGCCGCGCTAGAAAACTAGCAACTGTCTCACCGTCATTGCTGAAGCACGAATGAAACCGGAATCTGGCCACTATTTCAGATTTTTCCGGCTCGAAGTGACTTTGCAAAACGCTGACCAGCTGATCGTATGTTTTCTCACTTACAGTGGCTGGAGCAATAAGATCTTCCAGCAGACCGAACGTTTTTGCGCCGATCGCACAAAGCAGCACGGCCCGCTTCTTTGCTTCTTGATCACTCCCGATATCTTGCGCCACAAAGTACTGATTTAACCGCCGCGTATAAGCACCGAAACACTCAACGTCCGCATCGAACTCGGGCGCCCTGCCCGCCATCGCCGCGTATTCGAGCCGGCCAGGTAGCCCCCGGGTCACAGAGGCAACGCCACCACGGTTCACATACGAGTGCCCCCAGCACGGATGTCACGAGCGCAAGTACGCGTGCACCGGCGCGGCGGCCGCCAGCTCAGCTCCATGACACATATCTCTGGCATCTGCTCTCAACTCAGCAGTGACCTGACCTTGCGAAATGACTCTTGCTCTGAGTAAGAGTCGAGTCGCCAACGGTTTCATTTGATAGTTTTCGGTCAAGGAAGTGGAGAGAAGGGAGTACAGTCTCTCGTTTCGTAGTAAGGCTAAGTGTTGGTGGCATGGTGGCATGAGCCAGGAGCTAGCTGGTCTGTCAGCAGCTGGACATCAGCAGCAGCCAGTAGCACATCTGCCTGAGGCGTAACAGACTGGGGCTTGGTGGCAGACTCAGTCCGGCCTCGATCGCAAAAGGCGCCCTTTGCCAAGTGGTGAGAAGAGTTGTCAAGATAGCGACAGGGAAACGCAAACAGACTCGAATTCTTACCAAGGCAGATAATAAGAGGTCCCACATCATGATTCACCAATGCCCGCCCTTTAGCTTGGTTTTGCTGCCCTTCAAACTGAAAAAGACAATGAAATTGACGGGAAAACAACCAGTCCACCACCTTTGGACTCAGGCCAGGGCGTGTCCACTGGTCGAAGGAAGAGATGAATGAGATGGCCTGGTCGAATGGGAAGCTGTTCGAGCTGCGATATCCGTTGAGCCGTCAAATTGACCATGTGTGGGCTGCCAGCAGCTCGAACGGCGTCGCCGGCGTCAAACATCCGGCCAAAATCCAGACCTGAAGCATGTTCAGCTGCTAAGTAATATTCAAGCTGTTCATGATGCCACAGAAAACCGATAACAGTGATAAGTATATATTACCGGCGCAACATCCTGGCTAGCGATTGGTTAGAGCCACTCAACCAGGCTGCACAGGTGGGATCAGTTTCTGAACGTGTACTGATGCCTGATTCAAGCCGCGCAGTTTTCATGCGGGGCGGCGCACCACCTTGAAGTCCCTAGCAGAATGATAAGTGATGCCGAGAGGACCTATTTTTCTTCAGCTCCACTGGGGGGCCAGCGGCATCACTGCGGGGGCTACGCCCCCCCCCCCCCACCTAGCATCTTAGAGGAAGCCCTGGGGGCTAACCATGTCTTTTGCCCCCCCCCCCCCCACCCACCCACTTTTACCCGAGGCCCTCTCGTCTAGGACGTCGTCACCTTCCAGAATAAACAAACTCGGTAAAAATAAGTTCCACGAATCCCC